CTTCCTTCCTTCCTTCCTTCCTTCCTCTTATCCATCATCAGCTCCTTCCTTCCATCAGAGCCATGCAATGTACTCCTTGCCCAGCTTCCATTCATCCACTAATCTGTCCTGCCTGGTTGCCCAGCTGTCAGTCAATCTTGGATCCTCTAAAATAGAAGCTCTTACACTGGCTTGTTAACTTCCCAAGCAAAGTTTAGTACTCTGGGGAATCCTGACTTGATTTGCGCATTGTCTTGGGCCTCCTTGTTTTGCTCCAGATTGTTTCAGAACCTAATATCCCTGCTTCACTTTGTTTTCCGCATACATTCCAAATCTGAAGCATTTCTCTACTCACAGTATAACTTTAAGAGGTGAATTCCCTCAGCTTAAGGAGCCACCATTGGCCTTATGAGCTGAGTACTGAACCACATGGCTCAGGCTGTGACTACACTGGCAGACGGAATCAGAACGATTCAGCGTTGCTGTGGCTTGAGTCTCGGCCTATTATATATGCTTCTGTTAGGATTAGGTGGCCAAACAGAGACCACAGATTCTTTTCAGTGCTCACACTGGTCCCCTAGTCTGATCTAGTTTGATCCACATCACCGTCCACAGCCCCACTTCCTTTGATCTCACCCTCTGACAATCCTTGGCTTTCCTTTTAGATTTTCATTGTAAAGCTGGTGTCATGTTTAAAGTGTTGCACAGCATTAGGAAAAAGGGACAGATTTCCAAAATTCCCCATAATGTACAAATACAAACATAGACATGGCATGGAAAAATAGTCTGTTGTAGTTCATTGGAGTAGTTTCTTCTTCATATTGGTTTTTAATCCTTTTTTTGGTCTAGCTCTGCTTTCATATATCAATGCAACAATAAACTGGTCAAATGATAAACTTAGTATTTTATTTAACTTTTAAAAAAATAACAGGGAGAAAGATTGGGGAGGGTGTTCCTCCTGTTCAAAGCATCACAATAGTTCCCATAATCACGTCCTTCATCCTTTTGTTCTGCAACTGATTCCACTGAGACAATGTTGTACGAATTGCACCAGGCTTTAAAAAAAAATAAAAATAAAAGAAGCCCCCCAGGGGCAGGGGAAAAGACTCTGCGTCTGAGGCAAAAAGCATATGGTTGATTCACATTGGCCTTTCCATTGTGTAATCAGTTTTTTTTCTAAAGTCTGAATTTATCCATTTTGCCCCCACAGCAAATCCCACACTATTCGATAATGTAGTTGTAGCAAGAGTACACGACCAATAATATCTGTGGTGATTTTTTAACTTGAGTCAATTCACCTCCCAAAAGGACGCCATTTGGGTAATTAAATAAGAACACTAAAATTGCCATTAATTCTCTGTGAGGAGGCATTTCAAAGATGAACCCAACAATTCCAGGCGAATGAGCAGAATAATTCAGTAGATGGATTACCCACCATTCCCACCACCAACCTCCTCAAACTGGTCTAAGTTTTCACCTTCAACTGAGGATGGAGCATGGTGGTGGGGATCATTTCAGCTGAGCCTCAGTTTCCCCTGACGTTCTCATAGGCTGGAGCCCTCTTAGCAGTGAGCCAGTCAAGAGGGAAGATGAGAAGATGAGGTGTCAGGAGAAGGCACAGGAGGGGAGATCACAGTCAATGAGAACACTGTAGAATATTTTAATATTTTGCTAGGAGGAACTGATGCGGGGAAAGGCACGTATCTGATAAGGCTCAGGATGCAAAGTGAACCCTAATACAGGCTCCTTGTCGAGTTCTTCTACTCCTCTGGTAGGCTGGAAATGGAATGCTCTCAACAGGTAGGTGAGGAAGAGGAAGAGTTCCATTTTCCCCAGCTGTTCCCCAAGACACACCCGAGCCCCTGTGAAGGAAGGGCAAAAGAGGTGTGAGTCGGAATTGTTTTGAAGGCGTCTTGAAAGAATGTGGACTTTTTAAAAGAACACATACAATTGGTTTCAATCTGTTTTAAAAATATTGTCATCTTCCTTTGGCAGCCGTGGTCATCAGAAAAGGGATACATAAATGCTATGAATAAATTAACACACTAAACAATCCTCTAGGTTCATTGGTCTTCACACTTGTCTGAATATTGGGATGCTGTTCTCTGATGTAATAATGGATACCCAAAACCGTGCACTAGGGAGTACTCTATAAAAAAATACAGAATGATAATATTTGCTAAGAATAGGGGGGATACAACTTGCTAAGATGTGTGTTAGAGGGGCAGCTGTGCACAACAGGAGAATAAATTTTTAGGCAGAAGAAATAACATGCGAGTTTTAGTGTAGATGTGTTGAAAACTAGCCAATTGGACTCCTGGGTCTGCATGTCAAAAGTTCTCGTTTTGACATCCAGCAGCTTTAAAGAACCTGAAGTAACAGAGCTCAGAATTAGGGAGGAAGCTAAAATTCATTCGGTTCATGACAAGAAACAGAATCAACACTTCCCAAATTAAGAGACAAAATGGATCATCATCATCATCATCATCATCATCATCATCATCATCATCATCATCATCATCATCATCATCATCATCATGCAAATTTAAAAGTACAGTAGGACTCTTGTATCCATGGGGGATTGATTCCAAGCCCCCACTCCCCTGCTGCAACTGAAAATGCTGTACATAGCATGGTAAAAGAAAATATCCAAAAAAAAGTTTTTTTCACATATGTTACCAAAACTGGCCACTAGAGGGAGTCAGAGACCACATTCAGCAATAAGAACATCTAGCGTGCTCTGTGGTTCCCTCTAGTAGCCAATTCTGGTAAATACATTGTGAAATATACATTTCTAGTTTTTTTCTTTTAATATCTTTTATATTTTCAAACTGCACTTAAGTAAAATTGTGGATACCGATCCTGTGAATACAGGGGTCCTGCTGTAAAGGCAAAAATGATTGCTGGAGGGAAAATGATGTGAAAATCCACACTTCAGAGGAAAGTATTTGAGCAAGTGTGTGCATTAGCACAAACAGGGATAAAAATGTGTACAATGGTGCCCCGCTTGACAGTGACCCCACTTGATGATGATCCTGCTTGACAATGAAATCGCTTGATGATGGTTCCTATGGTTTTTTTCGCTTTACGTTGATTAGGTGCCTGCTTCGCGAACCCTTTGTTTGCAAAATGATGTTTTTTCCATCTCCACAAAATGGCTTCCCTTCGCAAAATAGCTTCCCTCCCTTCATAAAATGACTGTTTTCTGGACAGAAGCTTAGGAAGACAGCGATTTTAAACAGCTGATCGGCGGTTCTCTATGGGCAATCTCTGCTGGACGATGAGGTATTTCCCCATTGGAACACATTAACCGGTTTTCAATGCATTCCAATGGGTGCTTTTTTTTGCTTGACGACGATTTCACTTAACAGCGATTTTCCTGGAATGGATTATCATCGTCAAGCGGGGCACCACTATACACATTTTCATGAGCACAACATTGTACTCAGTAATGCATATGCAGTGCTCAAGTAGATGTGTGGCTCCATGGGAGAACAGGTAGAGGATTTTATTTCAGTTTTAAACAGGTGAAAATCTTCACCACATGAATATCTTTCCTCTTCTTTTTCTCTCCAAATGAATGGATATTGACAGATTTCATATTTTTATACATGGAACCGTTTTAAGACCTGTTCTACGAACCCAATACGGTTGCAGAAATAATCCTCGGTTATTTGAAAAATAAACATTCCATTTTATTTTTGTTTACCTGCTCCAAAAGGCACAAAGTCTTCTCGAAGCACAAAATTTCCATCTTCATCCAAAAAATGAGATGGGTTAAACTCTTTCGGGGTCTTCCATCGTTTGGGATCAAGAAACAAGGCGGGCATGTTTGCCATGAAAAAGGTCCCCTGAAAGGAAAATCAGTCAGTTCAGAGCATGGGGTGGAAAAGCAGAAGACGCTGTCCTATACAGTGTATAGCCCTTGACCCCAGTTCTTGTTTCATGATTAGAGATGGACACAGACCAGCTGACAGGCAGACACATGCACAGATAGATGCATATGGAACAGACCCAGCCTCAAGGTTCTGGGCCGGCTCCTTCTGTGCATGCGTCCACCAGTCAGCTGAGAAGCGGGCGCTTGTATACAAGCAGCAGACTTGGGCCGGCTGCCTGTCAGGAGGGCAGCAACTGAGAAAAGCGCTGGCAGCAGCTTGAAGCCAAGGTAGGGAGCTGGCAGTTCAGCAGGCATCTCCGTTTGACCAAATGAAACAAAGTGCCGAGGAGGTTTGGAAAGTTTGGACCTTTGTTTTATTTCAGCCAAATGGGATCCCCGGACCATGGACTGAACCACCAACCAGTCCAGTTCACGCTTTTTCTTCTTCTGGCTTGTGAATCAATTCGTGCCCACCTCTTTTCGTGACCTATGAGATTTTTGAAGCAAAAAACGAACGGCTCGGATAAAAGCTCCTTCTTCTTCCTTTTTGGAAGATTAGTTCAGAGAATTTGTTAAGTGCTTCCAGTCACCCTAATAAACAGAACAGCACACAGTGGTATCAACGGAGATGGTGTAGCCAATGCAGGTGTGTATGTGTAAGATCTGTTGTAGCAGAATATTGTTGGAGATTTTACAGCTTTGCTTGCTGCCTTGAGAAGGTGTGGCTGGAAGGGACCTTTCTGGGCTGGGATGACTGTCAATCTACCCATCACTAACCAACTGTTTCCTCTTGCCTCTGAATTCAAAGAGAGCACCGCCTCCCTGCTCAGTTCTTTTACTCCCCTCTCTTGAGTTTGTTGAAGTCTATTGCTGAAAAGCCGTCATGTTTATCAGTTTGCTGTTTGATCTGTTCAATTGTAAGTAATTCAACTTTTTATTCTTTCTCCTGCTAATGTCTCAGAGTAAATTATTGAGATTGTAAGTGCCAGTTGATGAGGGAAAAAAATGGGGGATAGTCTTCTCTGGAGAACTTGAAGCTATGTTGTGTGAATTCCTGCACTTCTGCTGCACAGCTAGAGGAATTTAATAAAAAAAAATCACAACTGGTGTTTCTGAGCAGATGGTTGAAAAATGCATTTAGTTCTCATTTCAGTTACCAGATTTATACTCCTTGAACCTCAAAACCAACCTAAATAAATATATTCACGAAGGCTTTCACGGCCGGGATCTAATGGTTGTTGTGGGTTTTTTGGGCTGAAATCCACAAGCACCAGCAAAACTTCAACAGAAAAGAGGAAAGTGTAAAGCTCAACAAAACTTGGCTCCCAGCTCTCAAAAATACAGCGTGCAAAAGGTCAACGAACTCTACCCAGCCACAAGGACAGGGGATCACGACACACAAAAGACCAGCTAATGACACCCATCAACCACAGGAACAGATAATCTCTTCTCCTTTACACAACAATACACCCACAACAATACACACTAATCATCCATCTACAGAAAAAGACACAGGCCTATCTCATAGCCATAAATACTGCACTCCCAAAGCCAACTACACCAGAGCACAGAGTGCTGTCCTCTGAAGATGCCGGCCACAGAGACTGGCGAAAGATGCCGGCCACAGAGACTGGTGAAATATTAGGAAGAACAACCTTCAGAACATGGCCAAAGAGCCTGAAAAACCCACAACAACCAACTTAAATAAAGTTTATTGGTAATATCTGTACCTTCTGAGGTCAATGATGCATTTCTCCCCCCAAAAATGGGTTAAAGTGGGTTGCAAAAATGATTTCTGATTGTACATTTCATAAAATGAACACCACGAGTGCTTTTACAGGATATTCTGGCAGGGCTAAACCTAAGTATTACTCTTAGATGCCCTTTGCTCTGGGATGTGGTTTCACAGAAGGACGCAGCTTCATTTTGGGTAGCTCAAGTACTTTGTCTTGCTTCTGTACCTTCATCACTTAAAATTTCCACAAGTGTCCCTATCAAATGGACATACACACGTTTGAAATAGCACACCCAAGAGGTAAGACATCTACCCGAGAAGCAGAATAAGAGTCTAGGAAGATCTCAGAGACTCCCAGAGCAGACCGGAACAAGGGTGAATATTATATTCTCGAAGGCTTTCACAGCTGGGATCCAATGGTGCTTGCAGGATTTTCGGGCTGTCTGGAGGTTTTTCTTCCTACTGTTTCACCAGTCTCTGTGGCCAGCATCTTCAGAGAACCTCTGAAGTCCTCAGAGGTCCTCTGAAGATGCTGGCCACAGAGATTGGTGAAACGTTAGGAAGAAAAACCTCCAGAACATGGCCAAAGAGCCCGAAAAACCCACAACAACCAAGGGTGAATATTGTTTTCGCTTCCAGCATTAGAGGGCCTCCAGGCTTATTTTTTTAACCATACAGCTTGGGGTGGCGGTGGTTTCAGATTTGGGTCCACCAGGGCCTTAAAACTGGGGTGCAGATATGTGCCTTTCCTTTACCTGAATATTGTTCTAGCTTCCAGCAGAAGAGGGCCCCCAGGCTTATTTTTTTAACCATGCAGCTTGGGGTGGTGGTGGTGGTTTCAGATTTGGGTTCTCCGGGGCCTTAAAACTGGGGGTGCAGATATGTGCCTTTCCTTTACCTTGGGAATGTTGTAACCACATATATTCACTTCTTTTGTACTTCTTCGAGGGACACCAAGTGGTAAGATATATCGTATACGCAGGATCTCATGAATGACAGCCTGGGTGTAGGGCAGCTTCTTACAGTCTTGGTAGCAAATGGAAGGAGACGAGCCCAAAATGTCTTCTAGTTCTTTGTAGACATTCTCTGAGAGAAATAATGAAAACAGAAGCTTCACTTTGAAAAGGGTGAGAAGCTTTATATAGCAAATGCCAGCCTGAATGTTGGCAGCTGTCAAATTTACTGTATTTTCCCGTGTATAAGACTATACTTTTGTCTAAAACCATTAGACTAAATGTTGAGGGTCGTCTTATACACGGAAGTAAGCTGAGGAGAGAACAAAAACAAGTGGAGGGGAAAGCAGGGATCAAAGCGATCCTGCAGCGCTTTGATCCCCCTACACTTGCTAAGCCCCACTTATTTTTCTTAATATTGGATTAGAAAAATGGGGGGTGTCTTATACATGGGGTGTCTTTTACATGGAAAAATATGGTACTTTGATTTGGATTTCCTGCCTTGGGCAGAGGGTTGGACTCAATGGCCTTATGAGCTCCTTCCAACTCATTTATTCTATGATTCAATGGATTCAGCCCTGTTCTGCGATGCAGGTTAAACAGAATTTTTCAGCAGCATAACAGTTTATTCCAATGATCGCCATAAAATTCATGTAGCACTGCAACATTAATTCCCATTTTCCTAATGCTACTACTGGAAAACTCCATTCTAGGGGGCCAAATGACTTGTACGTGTCGAGGATTGCTGAGGATTTCCTTGAGGCCTTGCAATAGTCAGTAATAGATAATGTTCAAATAACAGTGAATCATACAAGCTCTCTACGAGGCCCAAAGTACAGGGGGCATTTTCCAATCCCAACACGATATCAGGTTTCCATGATATCATTTGCCCCATGTCCAAAGAAATGCTGAATTAAGTCTATTTTGCCAAATGTTCAGAACCAGAAAACGCAAAACAGAATAACAATAAAATCAAACCAGATAAAATAAAATGAAACGTACGAGAGGAACTTGGTTGAATGAAGACAGCTTATTCTCTATAAATTTGATGAAGCAAAATCCCAAGGTGGTGAAACAAAACTAGTTTTCTTTTGTGCTGTTAAATTATTTCTGACTTATGGTGAACCTAACAGGGGTCCTGAGGAGTGGTTGGCCGTTCCCACCTCTGTCCCCAGACAGTTTCCATGACTGAGTGGAAACCTGAATCCAGATCTCTTGACTTCTCGTCCGGCAGTGCACGCACTACACAACACAAGCTCTCTTTTCATCCATTAGACAGAGACGAAGATTTATCACAGATATGAAATCCTCCAGTCGGAAAATGCAACTTGCTACTAAGACAAGAAACAAATAGCCTTAGTATCTTTCCTCTCTCTTACCTTGGATGTCTGGATGATGGGCCATGAAGAGCAGACCCACTTATGATCTCTTTCCAACTCAGGCTCTCTTTTCATCCATTAGACAGACAAAGATTTATCACAGAGCTGATATGAAATCCTCCAGCCAGAAAATGCAACTTGCTACTCAGACAAGAAACAAACAGCCTTAGGATCCTTCCCCCCCCCCCATTAGACAGGAGCTCTCTCACCTTGGATATCTGGATGATGGGCCATGAAGAGCAGACCCCATTGCAGACTATTGGTAGATGTCTCGACGCCTGCAGTGATCAAGTCAAAGATACACTGAACTAAGTTCTCTTCGTCATAGGTAGAGCCGGCGTTACCCTTGCTCTGTGGTTGATAAGAGAAAAGGTGAAAGATTCTTCAGACTCACTTCCAGATTAGTTGACCAACGCATGCACTGTGCTGCGTGTATTGACTATCCAGCCATCTTTGGCCTTGCTTCATCACCCCAAAGCTCTTGACCAAACCAAGGAGCAGCTCAGCTTCTACAGCAATGGACAAAGGGGTTGAAAACAAAGGTTTGACAGTCTTACCATGTATCCCCATTCCTTAGTTCACCTAGGGATTTGACAGGATGGCAATCCCTCCAGAGCTTCCAGGAACCCATGAAATTCCATAAATCTCTGGGGTATGGCCATCTTTGTGGTGCCCCTACCCCGCCCCGCCATGGCGTGAGAGGGAGACAGGCACTGAAATACCAAGACAGGAGTTGAATGACGACAAGAGGTAAACCCCCACCCACTCATATCCAGCTTATCTTCTCAATCCCCAAGGCAAAGATGATATCAACAGTATGTCTTTGACCTGCGGAGCAAGACTGGTGCCAAGTCTAGATGGTTGCAAGATCGTCACAGAGAGCCAAGGAATGGCAGCATGGTATGGCAGGGGAAGATCTGTTATATCTGAATTCAGAACATGGTCAGATTCCCTGAGTTGTATGTTACCTTCCCAATTGGGAACATAAGTTGCATGTAGGAGAATTCCCTTAGCATGGGGTGGAGCTTTGGGAGGGCATAGCATCAGAGTAAGGGGCAATCCTGGGGTCTCTCTCAGACTGATTTTGACCAGATTAAACTGGTAGGCTGGACATTCCCTCCCCTTGCTATACCCTTAATATAAGAACCTTGGAGGGGAAAGATGTAGGGGAAAAAAGGTACTCGTGAATATTTCTTTATTTTTCTTTTTTCTAAAAGCCATCAAGTGGATAAAAACAGGGGGAAAGTGCCTCTGGTGCAATTTGGTTTTACATTATCAATTGCTTTGAGTGTGTGTCTTCATTAATATATGTTCTATTTTGTTGTAAACTCTACAGAATACTGCATCATAGGGTGGTATATAAATTTACCGTATTTTCCATGTATAAGACACCCCCCATGTATAAGACACCCCCACTTTTCTAGCCCTAAATTAAGAAATCAACATTTTAAACATAAAACAGAACACATTTTTATTGAGTAATTAGGTAACATTTACATACCAGTACTGTCATATTATGCGTCATGCTTTAACTTTATTCAGCCTCTGGGCTCAGTACGCTCAGACATTCTGAATCCCTGTTGCATCTGAACAGTGCTGCAATTGGTTTATTCAGCATCAGCCGATGTCAGTTGCATACGGCTCATGACTGTAGGAAGCTAAGCCTCAGTGACTGGCATCCGGCTCATGACTGGAGGAAGGTAAATCTCCTGACTGTAGGAAGCTAAGCCTCAGTGACTGAAGGACGCCTGTTTGCAGAGGCAAGGTATGGGCTGTTTTGTTCTCTCCTCAGCTTATTTCTGTGTATAAGACAGCTCTCGATTTTTAGTCTAATGATTTTAGGAAAAAGTAGTGTCTTATACACAGAAAAATACGGTAATAAATAAATAATGTAGAGCCTATCACAGATCACATAGAAGGTGAACCTCAGCGATTTTAAATCCTGAGGCTTGGCTCCAGGTATACTTACTTTCTCCATCTGAAGTAGGTAGTATTCAATAAAGTCCTCCGGCTCATGTTGGAGCTGACACTGCTTATACTTCTCAACCACCTTCATTAGCATTGACTTAGACTGCTGTATTCTGAACAATGCCTTCTTATGAGGCCCTGGAAGACATTTCATAAGTAAGGGGCTTATTTCATAGAGCTGCGGAAAAGGAGAAAAAAAAGTTTTGTCACTAGCCTGAGCGGCTTGATGACCATGTTCATCAAGCAGATCCTTTGATTTAATATCATGCTCAAGAGCGTCGTTGAGGCTGTGGCTATGTAGCTTGTGAGCATCCGCTTCATTACAGCTGCTCGTAGACACCAGACAGAAGCAATGGCCAAGTTTTTTTTTTTTATCCCACTTCAGCTGGTTCACCAGCTGCAGCACTTTTATGGAGAAATAAAATGATTCGGATTACTAATCTAGATTTCATTACCATAACTCTTTCTATATGGAGCCAGTCTGTTTTGTAATTGTTCCAAAAAGAAAAAAAAAGAAAGAAAGCGAATGTAGCATTTACCCCTTGTTATGCTAAATAAGTCATGTATTATTCATGTTTTATGCTGATGTGGTTGAGAGGTGGGGGCACTAAAGAGGTTAAAAGGCGGGGCGGGAGAGGACGAATATCCGTCAGTCAAGAGTCAATCAGGAGTGGGAGAGTGAGTTAGTCAAGAGCCGGAGGCAGAAGAGAGAGATTGAGAGAGAGAGACTGGTTAAGATAAATACCGTATTTTTCGCTCTATAAGACGCACCTTTCCATAAGACGCATCAATTTTTTAGGAGAAGAAAACAGGAAAATATAATCTGTTTTCTTTGCTCCATAAGATGCACAGACTTTCCATCCCCCCTGTTTTGTGGGGAAAAAAGTGTGTCTTATGGTGCGAAAAATATGGTAGATAGAGAAGGTAATTAATTATATGGCAAGAATAAGTATGTATAGAGAGACCTGTGAATGATTTGCTTGTGTACAATGAACATCTGAAGAACATCTGTGATTATTAATAACTTTGCTACACTTTAATAAATAAGTTTTGTTTGCATTCACAATACAAGTGTCTGATCAAACGTCATTTATTTTGTGGATTGAGGGAATCCACTGGTGGCAGTGAAAGGAAAACAACTGGAACCTTTGTGAAGGCACAAAACGTAGGTGCCTCAAGGAGGTGACCGTCACAGCGATCTACAGCTTGAATGTCAGAGCTAGAGATGGGCAGGAAACCTCTGTTTTGCGGTTCGTGCCAGTTCATATCTTGTCCAAACAGGTGTCTGGTTCTTCCCTGCCCACCTCCTCCAGCAGGTGCCCACACAGAGACAGCTGCCTCTGACTGGGTATCCAGTGGAGAAGGTGGGGCCAGGAAGCTCCAAAACCTGTTCGGATGAAGTACAAAGCAGTACAAACTGCTGGTTTAGCATCATGAAAAGCCAGGAAAAGTGGAAGGCAGCAGGAAAAGGAGGACCAAATACAAGATGGGTTGATTCAAGAAAGATAAGCCAGGGCCGTGAGGTTGCAGGAGCTAAGCAGAGTTATTAATGATAGGACATTTTGGAGATCAATCGGTAAGGTCGTCCTAAATCCGAGGTGACCTTACAGCATGTAAAAACAACAGCAAGGTTAATCTTAAGACAACTTTCTTTTCCGGAAATCAGAATGTTAGCGGAATGGGTGAATGAGTATGTTTAAGGAACTGTTACGGAGCTCACAAAATCTAATTCAGTTTTTGAATCTTCCACTGTGGTGCCGGCTACTGTCTCCCATTCCCCTTCCCCGCAGGTGAGGCTGCCCATCAAAGGTAAGTTCAACTTGAGAAAGACAGCTTCCTCACCTTCTCACCCAGAGTGGGGTGAGAAGGTGGAGGCTGTGGAAGACAGGAGGGCCTGCCGCGCTCTGGTCCATGGGGTCACGAAGAGTCGGACACGACTTAATGACTAAACAACAACAATCTTCACAGTTGTGAAGCCCAGGGATGATCCAGGGATGGGAGCAGCAGATGCACACCTACCTGCCTCTGTGTTTTGAGGAATCCTTTTAAAGGAGCTGAGGAAAAAAGCATGATCAGGCTTAGCTCAGCAGCCATGAGCCTGTGTGATCTGTAACAGACCATCTCTATGGACTATTATTTTCATGAGCTCTTTATTTGGATTGCATTGATCTTTTAGAAATTTAGAATAATTTAGTGAAACGCAAGATAAAGGTAAAGGTTCCCCTTGACAATTTTTGTCCAGTCGTGTTCGACTCTAGGGGGTGGTGCTCATCCCCATTTCCAAGCCATAGAGCCAGCATTTTTGTCCGAAGACAATCTTCCATGGTCACATGGCCAGTGCGACTTAGACACGGAACGCTGTTACCTTCCCACCGAGGTGTCCCTATTTATCTACTTGCATTTGCATGCTTTCAAACCGCTAGGTTGGTGGGAGGTGGGACAAGCGACGGGCACTCACTCCGTCGCATGGATTCGATCTTACAACTGCTTGGTCTTCTGACCCTGCAGCACAGGCTTCTGCAGTTTAGCCCACAGCGCCACCACGTCCCTCCCGAAACGCAAGATAAATGTATGTTAAATAACTGAATGTCAAGTCTTAAACCCTGAGGATTTAGTGTTTGTATAAATAATCATTATTACATTTAATGTTGTCTTTTCTGCAAAGAGTTCGGCTTGGGGTAGTAGCTTGTTCTCCTACCCTCTCTTGTTTGCAAAATAATCATTAGAAAGGATATAGGCCATGGGATGGAAGCTCACCAAAACAAGAGGCTCATAGTTCAACCCTCCAATTGTTCTCACAAAGGGCTTCAGAATGTTGACCAGATAAAAGATCCATCTAACTCAGAGGGTGGGGTGGGATAAGACTACTCACAATATGAAAGAAGGTGCCCAGAAAATGTTGACCAAAGTCAATGCTTTTCATCACCTCCTCGAATTGTTCCTTGTCAATGAAAAGACTGTTTCCGAAAATCAGTGCTCTGATCACATTGGAGATTCCATTTAAGATAGGCAGTGAAGGATCTAGTGGCTGTTCTGTAAATAAAGTTATTGATATTTATTTTAAAAAGGGTATGGTAGTGGCTCTTCAATTAAGACAGAATAAAAAAAATTTCCACCATCAGAAGCTTGACACTTGTTAAACTAATAATCTAAACCTTCGAACCTACAGTTCATTATGGCAAATTTGAAAAAGATCCAATAGATGTAGCAGAGATGCACCATGCTAAAATGAGGGACATGAAAAGAGTCTCACCAAGCAATGGGGTGACTGAGCAATGACACTACTCTTCCACTCCAGAAGAACCAAAGAAAGATGACTCACTGGATGATCAACTGCATGATTTGGCAATGGTCCACAAGTGACCACCAATAATGACAGAGCCCATGTTAGGGCCAAAGTTAATGTTTACCTCTAACAATATAGACAGCTTGTCAACAACAAAGTCCCCACTCTACCTTTTTTTGACAGACACGAATGTGATATACTTTGTATTCACGAAGGCTTTCATGGCCGGGAGCCAATGGTTGTTGTGGGTTTTTTTGGGCTCTTTGGCCGTGTTCTGAAGGTTGTTCTTCCTAACGTTTCACCAGTCTCTGTGGCCGGCATCTTCAGAGGACAGCACTCTGTAGAGCAAAATCCTCGTTAAGCGAAATAAAAAAATTCCATTGAAACGCACTGAAAACCTGTTCAATGCATTCCAATTGGCTGAACAACTCACTGTCCAGTGAAGATCCTCCATAGGGTGGCCATTTTCGGTACCTGTAATGTGAGGAATCTGTCCTGATGCACAGCGGGGAGCCATTTTACATAGTGGACAGCCGCCAATCAGCTGTTTTAAAAACGTTGTCTAGCGAAGAATCGGTTCCCGAAGCAGGGAACCGATCGCCAGGAAGCAAAATTTGCCTATTAAAACATCGTTTTGCGATCGCAAAACAGTTATTGTATAGCGGTTTTGTTGTCTAACGAGGAAATCGTTAAGTGAGGCACCACTGTAATAGACAGTGGTTCTGAGAGTTCTTTGGCCAGTTGTTTCAATACTTGTGCATGCAGTTCATACAGCCTTGGTGATTTGAACTTGACCATTTGTTTATCAGTCCTGTCTCATCTACTTATTCACAGTTTTTGCCTTCCTAATGACATCCCTACAACTCCTTGTCTCTACTCTTCCTTTGTGTCCTAGCCTTCCTTTCACTTCCTATATGTGTCCTTTTTTATTTTCAGGTTCTCTCTGCACTTCATTGATCTTTCCTCTTTTCCTCCTTTTTTCCTTGTTTGTATTGTTTATATCTTCAGAATTCCCTTTTTTAAACAAGCTCCCAAACCTCTAGGACTCCTTTTCCTGTTAGAATCTCCTGCCGTGGGACCTTTACCTATCATTTTCTAGAGTTTATTGGCTTTCCTAAAATCCAGCATACACATGTGCCTGCACTCCACTTTTGCTTCCTTTGAAATCAAGGACTCAAGTAGAAAATGATCACTTCCCCATTACTGCTACTTCTTCCACCAAATCACCGATTTTATTTAGAATCAAGTCCAGAATTGCTAATCCTCTCGTTTCTTCCTCCATTTTTGTAGGATAAAATTATTAGCTGCACAAGTCAAGAATTTCTTGGAAGGAACACATTTGGCAATAGTTGCCTCCCAACAGATATCAGGAGAATCATAGAATCATGAAGGGGCCTACAAGGCCATCAAGTCCAACTCAATGCAGGGATACAAAACAGATCTGCCAGGTGGTTGTCCACATTTCTCCTGAATGCCTCCAATATTGGAGCATAATTGAAATCTCCCATCACTACTACGTCACATTTCTTTGAAATCCTTGTTTTCAAAGGTTTCATCCTTATCTTGTCCTTGATTGGGTGGTTGGTAGTAGACCCCAACAACACCACCTTCCTTCTGTTTTTTTGCCCAAGTTATATTAATCCAAATGCTCTCAATGAGACAAGCGGTGTCATCTTCCTGTATTTCTGTGCAGGGAGATTTCCAGTTCTTCTTGTTTGTTTCCCTTTGTATAGACATTTGAGATTGTGTCTTTTGTGGCCTGCTTTCCTTTACACATTTTTATGAAGAATATTAAAGCTGCTTGGTCTCTACTTAATTGTGCACTAGCCTTCATCTATCTTTACCTCCGTCCCCCTTCCGATTTAGTTTAAAGCCCTCTGGTTGACGTTCTTCGTGTGATGGCCAAACACAAGCCTCCAGATGTTCTTGGACTTCAACTCCCAGAAATCCTGGCCAGCAGAGGTGGTGGTGAAGACTTCTGGGAGTTGTAGTCAAGAACATCTGGAGGCCCAAGGTTGGGGACCACTGGTTTAGAGTATATGTTGGCCTATCAGAAATGCTGACAAAATACAAAGCAAATGGTCTCCAGAAGGGAAAATAGTCTCCAAGAACTACCAGGAACCACACAGCTATGAACAATGAGAATTATAGCCTTGGTCTTACTCGACTCTCTAGGCGAATATGGCAGAAACCATAAGCCACAACTTGGGACCTTGATGAGCACTATTAACACATCACAAAGCAGTTCCGTTAAAGTATCAGCCCAAGCTTCCAGTTTCCTGGCTTTATGGAGCGAGAGGCAACATGAAAACGTTTAGCCTTGATACGATCTCAGACAAGTTTTATTAGAATGAATATTTTTTTATCCTGGCTTGCTTGCTAATAGAGAAAGAAAGAAGTCATCATGCAGTTAGATCGACTGCTGGGGATTGGCCTGTGTTTATCTCGACACACGTGATCTCCAAGAATCGCTACCTTTTGCTTGTGCAAAGATTTCCACAAGGTTACGAGCCTCCTCTTGGATTCTGTTCTCAACTACTCTTTTCCCTACACCTAGCTTTCGCATGGTCATCAGTCCAAAACGTCGGTGCTGCTTCCAGATATGGCCATTTGAAGTTAGGACACCTAAGGAATCAAGAGGAAATTCAATGAATAGGCATTCCAAACATTCATATTTTTAATGGTTAACTAGCTGTAGTTTGAGCAGACTATGTGTATGCTGGACTGGTGTCAACGGCTCCACAGCTCGCGATCGGCAAGCCACTCTGGGCAGGAGGCAGGATGACAAGCCTTCCTGCAAGGTCAAAGAGTGGCTTACAAATTACGAGCTGCGGAGCCATTGGAAGAACCGCAGCGTCTATGACAGCAGCGGATTGCGGACCCTCGTTATTGCTACCTGTGCAGGGATATTTGTATTTGCATGCGAATACGAATACCTCCATCTCTACCCAAAAGTTCTACCCTAGCCTAGAGCAATGCACTGACTCCTAGTTTGTTTAACATCTACTCCAACTAGCAACCACTTCCTCAAGGCACGAGCAACATATACCACTTCTGGTTTAATCAATGCATCTTAATATTTTCAGGCAGGTTTCCTCAAATGTGGGTGAATGGAAAGAAGAACATGGGGAAGGGTCCGTTCAAGCAAAATCTTCAAGCCCAAACTATGAAATTAAATGAACTCAAGGGAGGTTCCTGATCAAATATGGTGAAAGCTCCCAAGAAATTAGCCAGGTAAGGAGATCCTTAAGCATATGAAGGATTGTTGGTCAGGAAAAGAGGAGAATTAAAAAAAAGCATGGGATTTCAAAAGGGGGAAATCCTCATTGAATATAAAGAAAATAAGAGCAAGCTTGTAAGACCTTGTGCTTTCTGTTGAGCTTCTACTGAACATTCTCCGGAGTTATAAAAGGACTGATTTTTTGTCTAAAAGGAATGGCTTAATTGTTAAGTATTTAACACAGGATGAATTTTCTGCAAATAAGAAAAGGAGGATAAGGTAACTTAACATCCTTTAAAGAGAAAAATATATATTTCATCAATATCTGAATGTGCTACAGAAAAAGGTTGCTTGCCTCTGAACAAGGAGGCTCATAAATCACGTCTATACTGGGGAAAAAATAACTAAAATTGTAAGACCAAACACCACCAAAATTTGCACAGAGAAGTATCAGATGGTCTACTCCTAGTCTGCCAAATATGGGCCTGATCTGAAGCCCAGTCTAAAAGTTATAGGTTTTTGTTCAGGAGCCTCACTTTTAGAATTGTCTTGTAGGATATTAATTTGCTCTGCCACATATTCTCATTTTCTGTACTTTCATGCAGCAAGAATAACTATTTATTTATTTGTTTGTTTGTTTGCACAATAATAACTATTGATTGATTGATTGGTTTGTTTGTTTGTTTGTTTGTTTATCCTTCCTTTCTTCTTAAAAAGAAAGCCGCCTACTTCATTAAAAAGACATTATTTACAAGTGAAAACAGTTAGTATATGAATATTTTAAAAAGACTTAAACAAGTATTCAATTTAAAAATGTTAAACAAAATCAATACTAAAATGGGACCTGTTCATCTGACGGAGAACACCCAATGTCACGGAAATGTACTTCAACCAGAAGTTGCTCTATTAGCTGTCTGCACAAAAGAGAGTTAGTCTTCATCATGACTTACCTCTTTTTTGAAATACATCTGCAATGAAAGGGGTTGCTGGCCGCTCAGCTAAATCTTCTGAATGGTTGACCAGCCCCTCTTTCACGGCTTGATATTCAGACAGAATGACCATAGGAAACGTGCCGATCCATACAGTGTAAATGTTCCCATATTGCTTAGCAAGCTGTCGTTTGGATGGGAACAGAGAAGATATGTATTACAGTCCGATTATTTTCAGTGGCTACATGCATGTCACATTTCCTCTCTTCTCTGATTCCCATTCTCTCCCTGTTCCTCCTTCTGTTCTGTGATTTCCAGAAACGTTCATTCCCATTCTCTCCCTGTTCCTCCTTCTGGTATTCCTCGCCATCTTGTGTTTCTGCCCCTAGCCTTCACCCCTTGCAGCCTCCCTCCTGCTTCTTTATCTGTTCCTGCCCGCATAGAATCAGAACCACACCTCCAGGGTTTGCTATACAACTCTACGTCCTGTTTCACCAGTGCTCATTTTGACTCATGGCTAGAGATGGGCACGAAACGAATGACGAACCAGAAAAACCCACAAACTGGGCCGGACTAAAGAACAACATGTAATAGACATCCAGATACCAATCTTTTGTTGAGGTTTCATTTTCACCATCTCACTTCTAAATTGTTAATTTCTACATAAGCTCCAAGAGATGTTGTCATGTTATCTTTTGGCAACCATGTGTCTTCCAGGATGCATACCTGAAGGTGGTGGCGAGATATCTCATGGAGGTTGAGAAGCAATGCCACCAGGAGTGTAAACTCTGTTATGAGTCTACCAGGGACACCTGAGGCAGAGGGGTCAAATCTGAGACACCAGACTAACCGGCATCCACTCCTGAGCAACCGAAGGTTAAGAACCAGTGGTCTAGCAGAAGGGTTGAATCTGAGACACCAGACTAACCGGCATCCATCCTTTCCAGGAGTGACATTCCCATCAGCAGAAGAGAACTGACCATTCCAGTGAAAATGGGAGAAGGCAAATCTTTGAATTACAGCTACTGGGAGCAATAGCAATGGAAGGTGAGATGGGATGGGGGTGGGAGATCTTCCACAGACCATGGCAGTGACAATTACGATGCTCAGTTAAGTTTAAACGTATTGTTTATGTAGTTTGGTAAGAATGTGATGGGAAGGGATGTGAGCATGGAATATGTTGGTAAGAGTGGTTTGGATTGGCTGAAGGAGCAAGGATATAAATAGGGGGCAATGTGCATGGAAGACAGTGTCAGTCTGATGTGGAAAGAAAGGGGAGAGGGTGGTTTTGGAGTCTGGGGTCTGAGAGATAGTCTGGAGAGATCAGGGGGGAGAAGTAATAGAGAAAATGAAGGATTGTATTGAATGAATTTAAAGTCTAGGAATCATCATCATCATCATCATCATCATCATCATCATCATCATCATCATCATCATCATCTTATAATTTCAAAGCTGGAAGAGACTCTATGGACCATCACATCCAGCCCCTGTCAAGGAGGCACAGTTGGGAATCGAACTCACAACCAGAGATGGGGACAAACCACGACTTTGGCTGTTCGTAATGTTCGAGATGGGGACGAACCACGACTTTGGCTGTTCGTAATGTTCTTTGGACACACAGGTGTTCCATGGGCAACCCGGATTCCCTCCTCTGGCAGGTGCCCCCTCAGGGAATGAGGCAGGGCAGAGGAGCCCAGGACTCTACCTCTGAGGGTGTACCCTCCGGAGAAGACTGGGGAAGGAAGCCAGCACTCCTGTGGAGCATCTGTGCACCTGAAGAACGAGCCATTATGAACGGCCAGTCTCTACTCCCAACATCTGGCTCCTCGGCCAGATACCTGAACCACTGACCTATTCAGAAACATTCTTTTAACACTGTTGTTTTAATATAACCCAGGACTCTACCTCTGAGGGTGTACCCTCCGGAGAAGACTGGGGAAGGAAGCCAGCACTCCTGTGGAGCATCTGTGCACCTGAAGAACGAGCCATTATGAACGGCCAGTCTCTACTCCCAACATCTGGCTCCTCGGCCAGATACCTGAACCACTGACCTATTCAGAAACATTCTTTTAACACTGTTGTTTTAATATAACTCTACTCTATCTCTATTCATTTTGTTCCAGGTGAGAAGTCTAAGTACATTACCGGAAAGCTGGCTATATGGAGAGTGTTATAAGGGCTTGAGTGAAAAGGCAAACACACAAACATAGATGCAGGGAAAAGTTGGCAGTTGTGAAAGGAGAAGAGAGAAAATAAGTGGAGATTCTTAAATAAAACACATTTATTCCTGTAGTGATTTAAAGCAGTGGTTCTTAACCTTGGGTTACTCAAGTGTTTTTGGACTGCAACTCCCAGAATCCTTCAGCACCAGCTGTGCTGGCTGGGGTTTCTGGGAGTTGCAGTTCAAAAACATCCGAGTAACCCAAGTTTAAGAACACCTGATTTAAAGAGACCTCTACCTAAAGGGTAATTAATGCTTTTGAATTGTGGTGCTGGAGGAGACTCTGGAAGGACAGATCCTGAAGTTGAGGCTCCAATCCTTTGGCCATCTCATGAGAAGAGAAGGCTCCCCGGAAAAGACCCTGATGTTGGGAAAGAGTGAAGGCAAGAGGAGGAGAAGGGGACGACAGAGGGCAAGATGGTTGGACAGTGTCTGCGAAGCAACCAACATGAATTTGACCCAACTCTGGGAGGCAGTAGAAGACAGGAGGGCCTGGCGTGCTCTGGTCCATGGGGTCACAAAGAGTCGGACACGACTTAACAACTAAACAACAACCTAATCATTCAAGTGATAAAATACAGGGAGTTGTGACATTGGTCTCAGAAGGAAGGGTTGTTACAACTGTCTACAGTTGTTAGTATTGCACAGAAGAAAAGGCAACGGTAACCCACTTCTGAACCTTTTGAATAAGGACACAATCAAATGTGAAGCAAGAGATGGTGCTGGAAGATAAGACCCTTAGAAGCTTCGGAGAAGATGGACAGAGGGACAAAGAACATAGAAAATATCAGTTAAGGCAAACTTGAAACCATGAAGCAAGAAAGTGATCATTTAAACATTTGCATAGCTTGGTGCTATGGGGACAACGATATTTTCAGTCAGAAAACGAGACAGGGTTTTACAGTATAGATCTAATAGTAAGGCAAAACATATGAGTTTGCCTGTTTATGGCAAACACATGCTTCAGGTAACTGAACAGATGACTGTACCTGTGAATGTCACCAGAGGGCCAAATCAGAAATAAAATAGACTTCCTAAACAGAAATAGGAGATGAAAAAGCTGTATTCTGTATGCCAGAACAGGAGTGGACCGTGGTACACATCACAGACTGTTAACCAGATTTATTATCAGGGATGAATGCAAAAGTGAAAGGAAGCAGAATACAAATACAACTCATCTGTGCTTCTATATGGGATTCCCCCTTTCCATTTATGGTTGACATCGGGCAACATATTCTTTGCTTGCCATCCACTTCTCCCTTCTCTACATAACTCCGAAAACTCTGCGACTTGTGTGGGTGTTGAATACTCTCCGATACATCTGTTCTATGATCCTCCTACTGAAATTAGCACCGGCCAGTTTCCTCCCTACATCATTGGTGTCACATGTGTTTCCAGCTTCTGGAGCAAAGCAAGTCCTGTATTGCAGGGTGCAGGTCACGTGATGGCGCGCTCCGTGATGCAATATATGGCCAGGGTGGGCGTCGAGGGTTCCAGCCAGCAGGGCACCCATGGAATTTAGGATGAGGCTGTCAAGGCTCTCGTTGGCCTGCTGGAGGTGCACTGCAAACCTGGGCAGCCATGAGCCACTGTCTCTCAAGGATGAGTGACCAACGTCTCGCAGGTGCAGTCCTCGAAGAGGCAGTAGCATTTGTGGCCCTTCAGCCACGACAGCATGCCGTGGTTGTGGCAGTCCACTGCAGAGGCGCCCAGGATGGCTAAGCCAACGGGCCACTCATGTACAGATAGGGCGAACCAGAGCCATTCACGGCGTGCTGGTTGAGAACAAGCAAGTCCTGGGTGTGCAGTGATAATGGCAATGGCCACCATCTTCCAGGCAGCCACTAGAGGCACCAAGTGGGGGCCAGCTGCATCCTGACCTTTCTCACTGCCCAGAAAGTCACCCAGGTGCTTCTCAGGAGGAACTGGTGATGTGTGGGCAAAGTTTGAGAGCCTTTTCAGCAGTTCGTTCATTCATTCATTCATTCATTCATTCATTCATTCATTCATTCATTCATTCATTCATTCATTCATTCATTCATTCATTCATTCATTCCCTGCATTTCTTCTTGAAAAGGACTTACAACAACCAACAATAACTAGCCTGGCTGGTTCCCTCAGGAAGGAAGGAGAGCAATAAAGGGGGAGATGAAGCTTTCCGAGTCTTTTCCCCACCATCCCCTCCCTGTAAGGCAGAGGTCGTCAACCCCCGGTCCACGGCTCGGAGACGGCCCATGGGTTTGTTGGAACTGGGCCACAGATACAGATCTCAGCCCCCCCGCACATGTGGTGGGCATGTCACACTCGTGTAGTGGGCATGTCGCGCCTGTGGTGGGCGTGTCACACTCGCGTGGGGGCGTGTTGTACTTACAGCGGGTGTGTTGCACTCACATGGAGTTGTGTCCTGCTCATGCGCATGCATACAAGTGTAACACACCCATCGCAAGCATGACATACCCATCGCGAGCATGTGGGATTGTCCCCACCCCCAGGCATGGAGCTCCCTCCCCCCTGCTGGTCTACGGCCCCAAAAAGGTTGGGAACCGCTGCTGTAAGGGAGATACACTCACTGACTGTAGTCCTCCCCTTGCTCTGGTAAGGAGGCAAGCTAGCCCACCTTCTTAGAAACAGCGGGAGAGGTGATGCAGATGTAGAGTCCATTTTTCAGGTGGGGACAGTCCTTGCATATACTAAAATTTTAGCCCCCAGGGTGGCCGCTCTGCGGGCCCCCACGCACTATGCCACCGCCCTACACTCCTTTGTTCTAAATCCAAATGTCGGGAACCTTAAACTTTCAGAAGTGGACTTACTTGGTAGTCTTAACACAACTATTGGCTCCACTGCAGATGGTTTATTCTGGAACTCCCTGACACTATAAGCCATGTGATTTTATGGTTCTGTTTAGAGAGCAGCAGGTATTCCTACAGATGGTGGTGGTGGGAACCCTGATCTGACG